TTTCTGGAGAAGCCCAGTTAGGAGTTTTCTGTGGAAAAAGGGGGTGCCACTACACTGGCTTAGGAAGGGAGACCCTCCAGGGCACCAGTAGCTAGGGTCCTCCTCTGCTCATCCCCTGTCACTGATCCCCTGACCCATCACACATCATCCTTCCCCTGCTTACCGCCCCAACAGACCAGTAACTGCCACGTGATCGGGCCATGCCTGAGACCTCTCATACAAGGGACCCAACTTCCCTCCAACCCTGCCCCACATCCTTCCTCCACTTCTTCCAGGCCACTGTGGTTGGGGAGCCTGTCCTGTCCTGTCTGTTCATCCCTGGGTAGTGGCCCTCCCAGGCTTCACTGGGGTCCAGGCCCAAGAAGTGGGCTGTGAATGTCCAGTAGACGTCCTCAGTAGATGCTGCGGCTGGGGTGGCRGTGGGTGTTAGTGGTGGTGGTGGTAAGAAGACAGAGCCCTCGGCTTCTGCCTGGGCTGTCCAGCTCAGCCGTCATGGCGTTCAAACAGGAGGCCTCTGGGGGTCCAGGTGGTGGAGCTGGTGGGAGTTGGGGAGGACCCACTGAGATGAGGCCAGCCAGGAGGTGGCAGCATCTCTGTGCAGGCGCCTGTGGGTGTTCATGTGTGCATGTGTGAGTGTGTATCTGTCCCCAGAGTGGTACCTGGGTGCCCTCCCAAGGGACATCCATTTGGTGGATTGGAGGTGGGGTGGGGAGAGACCAAGCCCTCGGTGTGGAAATGGGCCCCGGGGCAACAAATTTCCAGCACACACTGGCTCCTGTGGGTGTCTGTGCCTGTTTTTGAGCCCAGGGTGGAAGCAGACTCGTAGTGCTCCCTGCCACTATCCCAGCCACAATGGTAAACCCGGAGGTCAGGCAGAGGCTTTGGCCGCAATCGGGCGCCTGGAGCCCAGGAGCCCGGCCTTTCCCGGAGGATTCTCCCAAGCAGCTGCTGCCAGGCCAGGAGACTAAGCCAAGGAGGAGCGCCAGTCAGGCGCTCTGGGGGCGGGGAGGATCCTCTGGCTTCCCTGCCTTGCAGGCCCTAGGCAGGGAGACCTGGATGTGGGAGGGGTGGGAGAAGAGGGCATCTGGCTTGCCCTGGGCAGCACAAACAGCAGAGCTGCTGCCATGTTAGACACCAACAGGGATTCCCAAGTGGCTTTTCTGCTCTCTGCAGAGGGTGGAGGGAGAGAACCTTAGGGATGGCAGCTTGGCCTTTGTGGACCAATCGAGCCATCCAGAAAACTAGGATGCTGTGCCACCTATCTGGCGGGTACTATTGTGGAACTGGCGAACATGGGGAGGGGGTCCATCAAATCACCCCGGCCTACCCGCTAGGCACCTAGGCAGTTCCTGACCAGGATCCTAATTGGGACGACAATACCACTGCAGGAATAGCCCTGAGGCACCAATTTTCCACCTGCCTAGTTGTCGGGTAATGGCATATGCCATCGTCTCCCTCTCAGAGGTCCTAGAAGCCAAACCTGTACCACCCCACACGACTAACCAGCAGTTGGAACTCATGGCGGTCACCCGCACTTTTCAACTAGCTGCAGATGTTTCCCTCTATATACTGATTCCAAATGTGTCTTTCATATTCTCCTTTGGCATTTGGCCGTATGGAAATAGAGGGGACTGTTGGCCACCAAAGGCACCTCCATAACTAAATCAAGCTTCATCACTGATCTTCTCAGGGCATCTATGCTTCCTTCAGAGATTGGGATTGTTCATTGTCAGTCCCATCAGTTTGACTCCTCACCCATCACTATGGGTAATTCTAAAGCTGACCAGGCTGCCTGGCAGGCAGCCATGTTACCATGCCCCAATATTGCTGTCATAATTTCAAGTATACCCCCCACCTCATCCCCATCTAAATGGGACCTCTTCTCCTACTTACATTCCCTGTTCCTTACTAGCCCTCAGAATCTCAAATTCCTCTTACAGACATTCTTCCCACTCACCTCAGATGATGCTAGGCTCATCCACAACTTACCACTAAATGCATCATTTGTCAAAGAACCAATCCTAATTCCCTTCTCAAGCCAGGCTCCTTTCCTGCCCACCAGGCTCTATCTCCCATCCTTGTAGACACCTTCTCAGGATGGGTGGAAGCTTTTCCTACCACCAACAAAAGGGCATCTACGTTTGCCTCTGTTTTGCTCTCCGGTATCATCCCAAGATTCGGGGTTCCCACCTCCTTGCAATCAGATAATGGCCCTGAGTTTACCTCTCAGATCACACAACGAATTGCTGGGGGCTCTCCACATTCCCTGGAATCTACACATACCCTATCATCCCACCTCTTCAGGCAAGATAGACCGTGTAAACTGCACCCTAAAGGAGACCCTCACCAAGCTCTCCCTCGAACTACATCTCGACTGGGTCAAACTTCTCTCAGTCACCCTGTTTTGCCTACGGGCATTCCCCAAAAGACCAACTCAAACATCCCCTTTTGAGGTGATGTATGGACTCTGACTCCTACCATCTGGGGTGACCCGTTCACCCTGAATTCTTTCAGAACATCTCAGTCATCCCCTTCTTAGTCTTGTCTGAACACAGATTTGGAAACACCAGGAAATTCTATTACCTGATCCTTCCAGGTCACACGTCTCTTTCCCCTTAACCCTAGGTCCTCCTTCTGGTGACATACCTACCCTGACACCTAAATGCAAGGGTCCCCTAAGGGTTATATTGTACACTCCCACCACTGCCCGACTACATGAATCCCCAGGCAAACTGACTTCATGGATTCACATTTCCAGGCTGAAACCGGCCCCGCATCTGACCAAGGGAGCCCAGACTGACCGTCCACTGTCCTCCTCCCACAAATACGTCTGCTCCACCACCCCTGAGAATCCTTTAAAGCTCCACATCTCACTCTTGAGGATTCCTTCCTGAGAAGGACCTTCCTCAACCTGAGAATCCCTCACAACAACATGCTTCACTCTAGTTCCACCCTTCTCTTTGCCACCCTCCTGGCATCTACTTTGCTCACACATACCTCCTCTGCTTCATGAGACATCCCAGATTGCCCCAATAACTGGGATTTTCTTGTTTTGGGCCTTCATACCATGTATCATAAAATTCCTACAGAATCAAATAGGCAAAATATCAAATCAGACTTTAACCAGCTTCTCCTCAGGAATTACTAGCTACTTGCTACCTCTGAGAACACCCATCCCTTACGTGAAGGCCTCACCAACTGCTGATGGAACTTCACCATCATGGATACGGAACTACAGAAGGGAAACAACTGGGGAACTTCACTAGCTTGTCACCCAGGATTTCTAGGCCCATTCACATTTGTGTGCCTCCTCCTGGCTGCTGGTCTTTTCTCAGCCAGTCCCTCTCACTGGACCTCTGGACAGAAGCTAATGTGGTGTCTCCTCTTCTCTCTTCTCCTTGCCTTCGGGTATCTTTGGTGTTTTTAGCTTCACCGAGTGGCACTCCCGGTTCCTGCAGTTTGTGGAAGCCCTCCAACAGGACAGCTGGCTGATTCCACCCATTTATAGGGACAAGGATTGGATCGAGGCTATCCATGACCTATGGCTTCAAGGAACTTTCATCGATTTCAACGCCAAGGAAATTCGCATCTTCAGCGCCCTGGCCTTTATAGCTATAATTCTCTTGTCCCCCCAACCTGACCATTCCTCCCTTCCTTCAAACTCATCTTCCCTCTCCAATAGGAAGTAGCCAGACGATTTCAATGCCCTGAGTCCAAACACAAAGAAGAAGGGAGGAATGTTGGGAGACCTTGACATTGGGTTTTATTTGCCCCATAGGGTCACTCCCCCACTGAACTTTCTGTTTCTACAGAAAAATATTACACAATCCCTTACCCCTCCACTTCTTCTCTCAAGAGCGCCAAAGTCAAAATTTTTCGCCAAAAATTCCCTCAAGACACATTGTCCAATCACTCTTTCCTACCAAACCCTGCCAATCACAACCATTGCTGAGTCACCCTGCAAATCAGTAACCACCACATGGCCTAATCAACACATCTAAAGCCAAAACTGGCTCAAGGGGATGCACTCTACCTCTCCTTTTCTTCTCCTTCATACAAACCTCAATAAAAATCTCTTAGTTCAATTACCATCTCCTGTGAGTCACTTGAATATCAGCAGGTACACTCCTACAACTGGGGAGGCTAGGGAATACTCCCTGACACAATGGTAAAGCAAGAGGGAAGGCAGAGAGGCCTGGGCCAAGGAGGCGCCCACGATGATCAGGCCCACTGGCTAGGGCATCAGGCAATCCTGCTATCCAGAAAACTGGGATGCCCTGCCGCCACCCTGTCAGGCGGGTACCTTCCTGCAACTGGCAAGCATGGGGAGAGGGCCCTGGGACGGGAGTGTGGCCTCCCTGGTCTCAGAGCCTGGGGGGCCCTCCAGGCAAGAGGTAGAGAAGCCTGGGGCAAAGTGGCCCGCGGCCGGCCGCTAGGGGGCTCCCCAACGCTAATGACAGTGGGCAGGGGAGCCTGGTGGCCACTGTGGCTGGCTGGCAGAGGAGGTGGTGGGGGCGGGGGGAGGGCGAGATGGGAAGCCCTGGCTCAGGAGTGCTGTGGCAGCCAGCAGTTGGGGGGATGCGGACGCGGGGTGGGGGA